GCTCAAGTACTGATGCTGATAGGCAGTCACTATAGCTGGCGCTTGTAATCTTGTTTAGGACTTTTGGTAACAATGAAATAAGCTACAATTTCTATTTATTTTTTGAAAACTTTGAGATAAATTAATTTAAAATGTATTGACTACTTTCCCCACCAAGGTTCATATGATACAGGAATTTCATATTCCATGATAGCGTGGATGTTTACTCTTTTGTGGAGGGAGAATTTGCAATTGTCAATTCAGAATCTTCACTGATAATTTGTGGGCATTTTCTACAGGCTGTGTTATTTCATCGGCTTGTATTTCTTGGGAAGAGAGTACTTTTGTTTTGATATTTAGTGATGTTTTGGTGAGAAAATATAATCTGTATCAGCCAAGTCTTTGAAATTTATAGTGATTTTAAAATTTATAAAAAATTATATAGTATACACTTAAACAGCTATGAATAAATTATATGTGTGCTCTTCATTTTTTTGGTAAATGTCTCTTATGCTCTAAGAAATTCTTTATCTGTTCATAGAGCTGTCTTTGTGGAAGATGTGCTAAACTCTCCACTGTGGTATTAAATTTTTATTTATTTTGGCTTATGAAACAGTCTCATGAAACCCGGGCTAGATTCAAACTCACTGTGACACTGAGGACCCTGTTCTTCTAATCCTCTTGCCTCTATTTCCCAGGTACTGGAATTACAGGGGTACACCACAAGGTTTGGTAGTATTGAGGTTTGGGGATCAAATTTACGGCTTTGTGAATCCTATCTAGCACCCTGACTGACCCACACCCACATCCCTCAATCTTTTTAAATAAACTACTTTAGATGTTTTTTTCCTTCCATGAAGCAACAAATTCCATTTTTCTAATCTTAGCTTATGATCTTTTGCTAAAGCAAAATTACTTTGTTTGGATAGACATATTTGGATAACAGAAACAATTGGACCATGTAGCTCTGGCTGGCCCGGAACTCTCTATGTAGACCAGGCTGACTTTGAACTTAAAGACCTGCCTAACTATGCCTCCGAATTTAAAGCATGGTTCCCCATGCCAAGTTTACTACTGTCGTTTTAAGGTTTACTTTGTTTCACGGTCTTCTTTCTCTTTTCTTGGGTTCAGTTTACTATATTCCCTTCCCTCCCTCCTCAACTGACTTGAGATCACTAAGAATTTTGCTTGTATACTTTTTAGAATGAATTAGAAAAAGTAAAGCTATATAGAGTACACCTTTAACCCCAGCACTTGGGAGGCAGAGGCAGGCAGATTTCTGTGAGTTTGTGGCCAGCCTGCTCTACACAGTTGAGTTCCAGGAGGCAGTGCTACATCGTGAGACCCTGCCTATCTTGGGGGCGGGGGGGATTAGTTCAAACATTACAGTAATTTCTCTAACACTAGTATAGGTATTTGAACAGAATTTTAGTATCTACCGCCACTCAGAATTCTTAAGCCTTCCTGTAATAGAAGGCTGCATCACTTATTCTACACTTGCACTTCCTGTACTTACTCATATACTTAATCTCAATGTAAGAAAGTATGATTCCAGGTCTTATCCTTCTTCAAATATATTATGATCATGAAGCTACGTTTGCACATACCCACAATCCCAGCACTTAGGAGGTAAAAACAAGAGGATAAGGAGTTTGGTATCATTCTTGGCTACAAAGTGAGTTTGCAGTCACTCTGGACTACATGACATTGCCTCAAAAAAGAAAGCAAAAACTCAATTATATTTATTCATATTTTTGATAATGGAAACAATCTATTTCTAATAATTTTATAACTTGGAGAATTATTAAAGTTATCAATCCTATTTAGCTGATAAAAACAAATATATTAATTTTGAAAAAGAAATGTCTTAAAAATCCATTCTACATATACATAAGGAAAAAGGGACGGAAGTGGGCTGGAGAGATGGCTTGGTGGCGAGGTACTTACTGCTCTTGCAAATCCCTCAGTTTTGGTTCCCAGCACCCATATGGTGCCTCACAAACTTCTGTTCTAGAGAACAGAATGCCTCTTCTAACTTCCATGGGTTCCTGCAAGCACATGGTGCACATATATACACCCAGACAGATACAAGCACATAAAGTTAAATATTTTTATACAAAAAATTATTGGACTCCCAATTATATGCTAAAAGGCGAAAGCTGACTTCTCATTAAATTATTTTAAATAATTTGCTTCTGAGACAAGGTCTCATGGCCCAGTGTCCTCAAACTTACTGTGTTGCTGAGGAGGGTCTTAAACTCCTAATTGTCTTACCTCTGCCGGCTGTATTTCTTGAAGATGATTATACACAATAGAAATTTTGTAACTGATTATGCTTTTTAATTCATTAGAACAGAATATTGACATTTTATTCTAGAGTACATTTTGGAGACAACTTACTTCTATTTCTATAGATTTTTTTTCTTTTTCTTTTTTGAGACAGGGTCACACCATACAGCTTTCACTGGCTTGGAACTTGCTATGGAGACCAGGCTGACCTCTAACTTGGGAGATTCCTCTGCCTCTGCCTCCAAAGTGCTGGTAATAAAGGTGTGTGACACAATGCTTGGTTACTCCTATTTAATGTGCAGGTTCTAATTGTATATGGTATTTCATCAAAGTAAAATAAATATTTTATTATACTCAGAATTGGGATATATTTGCATAAGGTAACTGTCAGTGTTTTCACTAAGTGGGTTATAAAACAACATCTTGGGTTAAGTGGTAAATATTGGATATAGAGGAAAAAAGATACTAAGAAGTTTATGGTAAAAATGTAAACACTAGAAAAGTGGTTTGAGTCACATGGCAGACTAAGGAGGCTTAAGAGAAAACAACTAATGTGAAATTACAGATTACCTAACAGATTGGCAAAAATTACTTAAAGGTTTTAAGAATCTGAAAGAATTCCAGAAAATATAAAACACTACCTGTAAAGTACTTGGGGGTGGGAAGAAAGGGAATTGGAAAGGAGGAATAGGTCTTGAACTTGTGATTCTCCTGCCTCAGCATCCTGAGTCCTGGGACTACAGGCTTATACTTGTCTGACTTAGGCCACACTCCTTTATTGTGAAATGTAATGTTAGTATATGAGAACTTCACGTGGAACTTTTAGCTTCTCCCTCCTTGAAATAATAAAAAATCTGAGAATTTGAGATGCATCTTTAGACTCATCATTGTTCAACATGGTGGAAACACAGAACCTGATTCACCAAAATCAACCACAGTTTTATATCTGATAATTCTTCTTAGAGAGATGAGGCAAACAGCCTTACCATTTGTTTGATGCCTAAAAAGGCAGCTTTTCTTTCATGTTATATTCATACTCAGTTTTCCTTTCATGTGATTCACCCAAAAAGTCATTAAACAGTCATTTCCTTTACTTGACAAAACATATTTCTGTATGTAATAGTTGGAAAGAACACTGTATTTTACTCAAAAAAATATGAAATTCTGTTATACTCCTTTAATCAGGAAAGTAAGAACTGTTTGATAAAGTTCAAAAAGACACACTCTCTTGATAGGGAAACGGCAAAATTCTTCAAGAGTATATGGGACTTGAAATATTGTTGAGCTTATTTTTGGAAAACAAATCTTGCTATTTCTTTTGTAAAATGGGAGAAAGACTAAAAAGGAGGTTGCTGTGATCTCTTGATCACAGGTATCTTATTAAGTAAATTTATTCTACAGTTTGGGGAATTAAGAATCTGAATTTGTATTTTTTTAAAACTACCATGCCTACCTATCTCTTGAAAAGTTAATTACCCCAAAAGAACTCATAATCCCATTTGAAGACAATGCTATACAGACTATACTCTGAGATGTAAAGGTTTATACAGTTCTCCAATAATTATTCAGCCTCTTTGTTGCTGTTTTTCTAAACAGGGTCTCATTATGTAGCTCTTGCTGACTTGGACTTCACTATGTAGACTAGGCTGACCTCAAAGTTAGAGATCCACCTGACTCCTGAAGGGTTGAGATTACAGGTGTCTGCTCAAGAACCCTTCTTAAAAACAGCCAGGTGTGCTGGTACACTCCTCTAATCCCAGCACCCAGGCAGATAGATCTCTTTTGAGTTCACAGCTGGCCTGATTTACATACTGTCATGTAAACCAGAGTTACATAGCCAGACTCTATCTCAATGCAAAACCCCATCAAAAACCCAATTCTGAACACATGACTAATAGTATACACAGTATGTCTGAGTTTTCTCCTTAAAAAGTCAAAGGTTAGACAGACCTCTGGAAGTACTCTACTATAGTAACTATGGTTACTATTTAAAACTTTTAAAAAGTATTTCACTTAAGTGTGGACTTAAGTCCAGCAGAAAAATAAAATGTGAACTCTTTAGGTTGTATTTGAATGTCTTCCAAAAATGGTACAAATACATGAAATCTTTTATAACTTCATTATTTCTGTAAAGTCTTGTTAAATTGTCCAGGCTGTGCTCGTTGATCACTTCCCCCTGAGGGGGGAGCAGCCTTATCAGGCCACAGTAGAGGACAATGCAGCCACTTTTGATGAGAACTGATAGACTAAGATCAGAAAGAAGAGGAGAACCTCCCCTACCAGTGGACTTGGGGAGTGGCATGCATGCAGAAAGGGGAGGGAGGGTGGGATCGGGAGGGAAGGAGGAAGGGGCTTATGGGGGGATACAAAATGAATAAAGTGTAATTAATAAAAAAATTAAAAAAAAAAAAAGAAAAAAAAATTGTCCAGGCTGGCTTCAACCTTACAATCAAATAGGCTCAGCATCTGGAGCAGCTAGGATTCCAGCCATGTAAATTGAATCTGACTCTATTTTTTTCATTATTGCCAATAACATACTTTCTAAGAGACTGTTTAGTAATTGTTTTCAAATGTTATTTTTTTTTTTTATTTATGAAGTTCATGCTTTCATTTTCATCAAATACGACATATATTTATAAAAACCCAAGATGTTGAATACGGACATTTTCTTTCAAACAATCACATAACATTACTCTACTAAACCTTATACACATGGGACTCAGCAGAGCTAATAGTTATAACCAGAATATATTTATTAAACATTTACTTAGTACCTATTATTTTGGAGGCACTATTCTAAAAAGTCAGAATACAGGTGTAAATAAGACAAACTATAAATTTTCTCATTTTACATGATAAAACTGGGAATCTAGCTAATAACTTGTAGAAAAATCTTAAAGCCCAGCTCCAGTGGAGGTTTTATTTACATAAAATCCTTCCCATTTTTTCCCCTTGTAATACCTTATCAACAAGTAGGTATGGCTCAACCAGGTGGAATGGCCATTTCATTTTTCTTTCAGATACTGTTGACAAATTTTTCAACAGACTGCACTGTTCAAGACTTGATTTCAAATACTGAGGAATATTCCAAGTTTTATCTCCAATATTATCCATTATTATCCCTTCCCTTCTACTACAGGTAGGCAAAATTAAGCTAAAGTTAATAGAACCCTCTCTTAGATTAGAAATGTGTCCATGAGTCAAGGTAATTAGACCTTACTATCTAGGTCATAGATAACTGGCTTCATATTTTCTTCTTTGGGATTGATGGACTCAAATACATATTTGTTGTCTTTACTGTGGAAGTGATTTGAGATTACTGTTAAGTCATTTGTTATGGTATGGATATACAGTGTCTCCCCAAATGAGTCATGTGTTAAGATGGTAATTCTGGGAGACAGAGAAAAGTGAAGGTGCCCTAGAAAGGCTCCTCTAGTCCCTCGCCCCTCCTTATCCCTCTGCTGCTTGGTTGCCAAGACTGAGCAGCTTTTGCCATGTCCACAGCCATATTATCACTCACCTCAACACCAAACTAATGGAGCCAGCTGAACTTTCACTGAAACCTTAGAAACTGCTCCCTTGTTTTTTTGTTTGGCATTTTGTCACAATGACAAAAAATTAACACGCCATCATCTTTGGCTTCATGAGAAAAATAAGTCTACAGTGCTCAAAATATAGAGAAATTTGATAGAACACTGAACCGCATACATACGGTTCATCCTGGCGCTGTGCGGTTAAAGGAGAGTAAATCATTACATGATTCTCAGTGATTTTTACGTTTCCATATTTTAACAAAAATACTAGGTAAAGTATAAATGTAGAATAATTTTCTGTTAATATATAGTAAACTGTCTAGTAGCTTATCTACTTCACTAAAAAATAGTTTGCAAAACAAGTGATTATGAAGCATTATTTTAGCAATTCTACATATCCACAAAATCACAATTTAACTAGGAAGACAAAATGTTTTATTTTAAAACATTGAAAAAACAAATGTCTGTTATCTTGGAAATGTTAAGTATGAAAACTGTGCTCTGAATGTGGTACATACTCCCAGATAGCTAAATACTGCAAATTATCCTGTCATCTTCTCTAGTATCAACAACACTTGAGATATAGGAATCATTATTCAAAGTCATCATCTTTGGGTTCAACTCATTTACACAAGTAAAAGTTCTGTCCAAGATGTTCCTGACACATGAGGCTTCCAGTTGAATCTCAGAAATGTTAGGAAAAGTATCTTCCTTTTTTGCCTGTGAATGTTTGCGTATTGCTGTACTGTTGGCTTATATCCACTACAGATACTGGTTCTAGGCCAGCCCAAGGGTCTTCAAGCATTGAAGGCTTAAAATAACTTTCCAACTCATTAGACATCCTTTTTTCTCTACCACGCCCTGATCCAAATGGTGTAGATGTCCTTGGAGAACCCTTTAGGAAAAAAATCATCAGTTAAAAAAAAAAATCTAATAGACATAATTGGTACTTTTTGCTAGGTAAATATTAGTGGAGATTAAAAGTTGTCAATTGAAACCCAATATATTCAGCTGCAAATTTCTTGTTTTCTTTAACCTACTACTTTTAAGAATTGCTAAAACCAGCTGGGCATGGTGGCACACACCTTTAATTTCAGCACTCAGAGAGGCAGAGGCAGGAGGATCATTGTGAGTTCGAGGACAGCGTGGTCTACAAAGAAGTTCAGGAGAGCCAAGGCTACACAGAGAAACCCTGTCTCGAAAAAACAAAAATTACTAAATTTCTTTTTTTAAAAAGTTTGCTATCATCTTAAAAACTTTCCAGCTTCGAATCTGATAATCCTGCAGCTATTAAATAAAAGTAAATCCAGTATAAGTAGTGTTTCAATTAATTGTATTCACATTTTCCTGGACACCTACTTTTTAACCTAATTAAGTTTCAAATTTCTAAAACTTTTATAACACATGAAAATTTCCTGTACTTAGCACCTCCAGCTCAAAGGGATTCAGCTGGGTGAGCACATTCAAGTTTGCAAGCACCGTAGATCCAAGTCATTAACCAAAGAGCTACTTCCTGCCTTGTATTTACTTGAGAAGGGAAATCTCCACAATCTTCAATTCTCGATTTTCCCTTCAAGAGAACTTGGAGTAGATGTAAATACAGCTCGAAAAAAAAAAAAATTGATAGCGATTTAAAAAAAAAAGAGCAAGAAAGAAAAAATTAGGGAGGGACAGCTGAGCTGTAGGAAAATGGCCGTAGACTACAGTCTAGAGTAACCACACAAGAGTAGGAAATCAGTGACTGTCCTCCCCCTAGGAATTCAAGATTAGTTACTGAAAATAACTGACAAAAAACTCTAGGGGGAAAAAAAACGTGGAGGATTAAGTAAGTTTATATATGAATACGGTATACTGGCTAAAAGTACAATTTGTGTGGAACAGAGAACTACAGCTCCGCCACTTATGGTAATCTTAATTTCTTTACGCCTCAGTGCACTCTTCGGCAAAACTGGGCCAACGTAGTACGTCACCTCACAGAGGATTAATAATCCACGTAAAGGGAATCTTAGTATCACGCCTGCCATTACAGTAAGAGCTCGGCAAACGCTGGCTATTGTCTTTACCTGGGGGTAGGTCTGCTGCTGCCCTGGGGAGTGGCCGAACTGATGCTGGGACCCCGCGGGGGACCTGGAGTAGGAGCCTGGGTAGCCGCCCGGGGACGGAGACCCGAAGCGGGCCCCCGAGAAGCTGCCGCCGTGCCGCGGAGACTGGCTGCTCCCGTACGGCCTAGCCCGGGGCCCGCACGGCGGAGTGTGGTGCGGACTCCCGTACCCGTCCCGCGGGGAGGGCGGCCGCGGCCCCCCGCCCAGGGCACCCCGGAAGCTGCTTCCGCCACCCCAACCTCCGATCCCCGGGCCGGGGTATGGAGGAGTTGGGGGTCGAAAATTCGGTCGGTGCATATCAGGAACCGAAGGCGAACAGCTCACGGCCGATCCTCTCACCGGAACTCCAGAGCTCTAGCGCCAGGAGAGACCTGGTAGTCCTCTATTTATGCAGCCTTCCGGTTGCCCGCGCGGTACGGCACTTACGTTCCGGCAGCACAAAGGTTCCGACATCACAAAGTTTCGGCAAGGGGGGGGGAGTAAATAGGTCACTCAAGTCGGAGAGTGGTGGGTGTGTCTGAGAGGAGGAAAGACTGTAAGTGGGAAACCAGACCCGCGACCCCAGCAAGAACACTGCCCCGGCGGCCTCAGGTTGGACCGACGTACACGAAGACGGAAGCTGAACTCACGAAACTAGTCTTCGGGCCTCATGGGCGGTGCGGCTTGGAGAGGGGAGTGTCGGCGGAGGCGGTCCCGAGAGGGGGTGGGTCACCGGGCTCCGAGGCTTCCGGGAAGCCGGGCCAAGGCGGAAGCCTGCTCGGAGGCGCGGGATTGGGTGGGGTGAGCCGAGAGGGCGGGGCCGAGGAGAGAGGCTCCGAGGAGGGCGGGGCCAAAGGCGGAAGGAGCAAGTACGCCTTGTACTTGCGGGGCCGAGTGGGACTGAGGCGGAGGTCCGGGAGGAGGCCGGGTTCGTGGTGGGGTGGGATGAGTCCGAGGGTTCCGGGGCCGAGGCCAGGGTGGAGGGGGCGGGGCTGCCGGAGGGGGCGGGACTGGCCGGGGCCCGGGACTAGCAGAGGGGTCTAAGGTCGAGGCGTTAGATCTCGGGGCGCTCTCGCTTGGCTGAGGGGGCGATGCTGTGGATGCTGGCCAGGGCGGTGGCTTTTCGGAGACCCTGGCAAGCACGGGCCCGCGGGAGGGGGCTGTGGACCGGCCGCCCGCAGTCAGGTACCCTCCGGCACTGAGCGTCCGGGCTCCCCGAGGAGAGCGCTCGCGCCTCGGGAGCGCCTGTCGCAGGGCTCGCAGCCGCGTTCGTGCCCTGCTTCTCTTCACCCTACCTTCTCGTCCCCCTGGTTTTGGTAACTTAAACGAAACAAAACAAAAACAAAACAGCACCTACCGCCAAAAGCTGAGTTTTAGAAAGCAGGCTGCAGCTTTGAATAATTAGAGAGCCTGTACTGCTGGACCTGACCCTTGCATTTCAGGTCTTGTGAAATGGAAGTGGACGAGGTTAGGAAAAAGAGATTTAATAAAAAAAAATGAGAAAAAAAAATGAAAATTCAGCCAAAACTTTAAAACCTTCTAATTATAAAGAACGGGAGACCTGTCTTAGATATTCTTGTAGAAGATAGAATTTCAAATTACTAGTTTTATGGAGTTTCCCTTAGTCCTTTAGCATTCTGAAATCAGCTCGGGGAATTTTAGTACTCATTCCATTAGACCAGCGTGTATGGGAGTTTTGTTGGTTTGGAATTTTGTACTTACGTACTTAATGCCGTTGGTGCTTGGAAGGAATCAGATTTCCTGGAACTGGAGAAAAGTGTGGTTGTGACCACTATGTGGGTGCTGGGAACAGAACCAGGGTCCTCTGCAAGAGAAGTTAAGTGCTGTTAGCCACTGAGTCATCTCTTCAGCACCTGAGGTTTTCATTCAGCAAAAGAAATTTTATGGATCATTTTGGCCTTTATTCAGTCTCTGACATCTTAAGTGACCTAACTAAAAGAGTGGCTTCCCAGTTTTATTCTTCACTAATGGAGGCACAAACCAAGCTCTTTTTGGTGGTGGTGAGGGTGGAGTTGAGAGTGGGGGATGAGGAGGTTTTAATTTTTTTTTTTCGTGTTCAATTTTTTTTGTTGTGTAATTTTTATTCCTGGGCAACTCAGTTTGACTTTCTTGTTTTGCTTTTTTTGTTTTGTTTTTGAGACAAGTTCTCAATATGATATAACCCAGGCTTGACCACGTTTCTTTCTTCTGAAGACAACTTGTGTCATGGAAGAATAATGTCACCATCAAGATGTGGTGATATAATAAGAGCTGCGGACTACAGCTTACCTAACATTTATTTACATTGTTCTGTCCTGACCAAAGTTTCTCTTTTGTAAACATTTTGTTTATCTTAGTATCTGGCAGTTGGGCACTCATACGTATTGAATAAATATGTCATATGTCACACACAAATATGACATATATACGACACACATAGATATGGCACACATATGTGTCTGTCAGTGATTCACTTATCTGCCTTACAAAGGGAACTGAGAATTGGGGTGATGGGCACCAAAGTTACATTTATTATTATTATTTTTTTTTTTATAACTGGCAGAAGACATGCAGAATTGGGTCTCAGCTTACACTATGTTATCATCTTTTTACTTGAATTCTGCTTTTAGTATGGAATTGAACCCAGGGCCTTGTGCATACAAGGCAGGCTCTTTACTATTGAGCTTCAGTGCGTCCCCAGTCCCCAGAGTGCTCTTACATTCCATCCACACCTGACACCAGAGGTCTGGGAGAGGAAGAAATTCAGTGGGGAATTGTGCCAGGTACTTAGGTAAGACAGTGAGGTGTGCCTCCCAGCACATCTGTGCGTGTACATAAGAACTGTCCAAACTGAGCCTTTAATAATTATGTAAAACTCAAGGCCCATTTTAACCTTTTTAGAAACTTTCTTCTTTCAAATGAGAAATCTGGCAAGAATAATTAAATGGTTTAAATTCACCTGTCAAGATCAGAATTGAAGCTTTCTAAATTCCATAGGTTTTTTTTTTCCCCTTAGAAATACAAATTTGAAAATGCAATTTAAAAAACCATGTAAATCTTGAATGTGTCACCAGAGACATGGTGACACATGCCTTTAATCCTAGCATTTGAGAGGTAAAAGTAGGTGGATCTTGGCGAGTTTTAGGACAGACTAAGTTCCAGGATGGCCTGAGCTACCTAGTAGAGAGAACCTGTCTCTAAATAAATAAATAAACAAGCAAATAAAGTGGTATTGGGTAGCTTCTTTTGGGTTTGCAGCTGATGAATCATAGCTACAGCTAGTGTATTGCCAACATTTAGCCTAGGATTTACAGTGTGACTGGATGCGCTAGTAGGCCCCGGAGCCCCATTTTGAAAATTTCTTTATATATTGAATGTAGTAAAAGCATGAGGCGATAGAAAACTTTAGTTGTGCTTCCTGGAGCTGTAAAAATTAAAGACCTGTAATGATGGCTATGACAGTAGCTTTCTCTTGAAGGGAAAAGGAAATTTTTGTTAGCATGGTTCCTGCAAAAATCACCGCAGCACAGTAGGGATGACTAGCATTAGAAGATAGGATAATGCACACTGCAGTGCTCTCAGGACAGAGCTGCCAGTGCCTAGGTGTTGACTTCAGTTACCCTTGTATTTATAGATGCCAACAATGCCAGGGAATGTTCTCAGTTCTTAAGAATTCTGTGGGCGATAATGTGTTTTGGAGCATGGAAATTAAAGCAAGTAACAGCAACAAAATGAGGAAATGTACATATGAATATGGAGTTGGCTTATTTCTGTAAGGTTGCAGTCTTTAGGTTACCTACGGGTGTGTGTGTGTGTGTGTATGTTTACAGTGGATATCGCTTATGTTTCTTTTCATCATACCATATCTTCAAAACAAAACAGCAACAGACACCTACCTGAGAGCCCAACATATAAAAGCAGAAGAGGAATGTTTAAAACAGAGGTTGGGGACGCAGAATACTGTTCACCTTGTGTCTTTACTTCGCTATCCTGCAAAGAGACTGTAGGATCCCTCTGAGGAGTTCTCAGCAAAAAAGATTCTGACCACCCCTCAGCCCCCCATTTTAGGTAAATGGCAGTAATCAGTGCTTCATGAACTTATACTTTGGTTAGTTTTACTGTGTCTGCAAGAAGTAAATATTTTCATGTTTCTGCATTGTTAGCACTTTCTAAATGGAAACTGGGTTAAAGGACAAACCTTAGAAGTTAAAAGATGATTGATTAGATAGTTTGAAGTATGTGTTTATATTTAAAGGGATCTAAACCAAGAGGCTTGGATGTTTTCCCAGGACTCAGCGAGGCCTCTGTACCCCTGGAAAGGCTATTCATAATCCTTGGGTAGGATCTCAGGTGTCAGTTCATTATTTCCCCCAAGCAGTGTTTGCTCCCATTTATCAAAGGAAGGTGGAAGCTGGGCTGTCATCCTGAACAAACTCCTACATTAATAACTTTGGGGATCTTCTATGGCTCAACCCCTGTAATCTTTAGGCCTAACCAACTTGTTCTTACTGCATTTGTTAACTGTAAGGTACTAGGTGTGGGACTATGGTGCATTTCTTGATGTCATTAATCAGAACTGATAATGCTATAGAGATCTTGTGTTTACTTTCAGGCTTGAATATTGAGATTAAAAGTTTATTGAGAAACGTTGCTTAAGAGAACATAGTAAATAATTCCTATGTATGGAGGACACTTAAGACGTAATCCTAAGAGCATAACTTTAACTTCCTATTTCCTGAAGGTCTTCAGATTATCATTTTTCCTTAGAGTGCTGTCTGTTATATCACTTAAATAATCAAATATTTAAATAATTAAATATTTCCATTGACAAAGCAAGATTTAAAGGAACCTTTTAAAAAGCCTCTTAAGAGTCAAATTTCATTGCTTTGTTAAAATTTATTTTTTTAAGCATGTATAATGGTCAAGCACAAGAGAAATGTGTTATATATATTTGCTTCTTTCCAGACTAATATCATAAGACGTGTATTAGTAGAGATACACCAGCAGTCTGTATTCAAGTCTCCATTGGAATTTTAAAAATACTTACAGAAATAGTTCTATATGAAGAAATCAAAGGGTTGAAATGTTTAGATGTGAGATTCAAAGGAACACTGAGATGGATTGTTGAGGATGAGTTTTAATAAACTTTATCTAATGACAGGGCACCACAGATAGATATCAGCATGGGGAGGGCTCTGAAGAGAGATTAGAGACAGAGAACTTGATGGGTATTCTGTAACAGAATCAGGTTCGTGAGGCTGGAGGGGGTGTCTCTTCTTACAGGTCTCTGAGGAAATATGGGACTTCACAGCATAAGCCTGTGGCCAGCTCTCTGGCTCCCTAGCAGGAGGCAGGCAACAAGAGCATATGCATGGCCACTGTGAACTCAGTGCCCCGGTGAGAAATCCTTCTCCTGTAAGTTTATTAGTTGGAGATTCACAGACAGTTTCTTAGGGTACTTGAGTGGGATGGGGCTGTTTCAGGTATTGTGGCCTGAACATCATCAGTCTGGGCTGGAGTCAGAATTAGAAACTTGAGTGATGTTTTCTACAAAGCAACACTAAAAGATGACTTGAAATGAGCAGCTGACGATGGAATCTGTATCTTTGCTGTTCTCCAATTATAAAATGGTACACAAGTGATTCCATGATTTGAATGTCCCCTCTAAAATGCAAGTTGAAGTTTAATCACAACTGTAGTAGTATTGGCTTTTAAAATGTTTCCACCTTGAGGACTTAGCTCTCACGATGGGTTAGCATGGCTGTAAGTTAGTGATTGCTAGAGTGGTTTCTTATAAAAGCAAACAATTTCCTTATCCCTGTTGGTGATGCCCTTTGTCCCCTTGTTTTCTGCCACAGGGAATGGAACACAAAGACTACCTGTAGGCACTGTGCCCTCTTGGAAGTCCCAGCTCTTAAATTATGAGAAATCCCTTTTTAAATAAATCACTGAGTCTATGTTTTTCTGTTATAGCGGCAGAAAGCCAGAAAATGCAACAATTTTTTTTTTTTGCATAAAATGTAAAGACTTAGAAACATAAGCAAGAGAAATAATGAATTTTTATCCAAGAAGCAACTACTTGGTGTTTTAATAATTAAAATAAACATCAGATAGTTCCTTTAAAAATAGGAAGCAGAGCAGTTCAGTGTCCAAGTGGGTTCCATAGTAATGGGAACAGGGACTGG